GCGCTTGGGCGTATGCAGGCGGCGCGGGGGCCGCGGCCGAGGCTGAGCCGCCGGAGGCCGCCCTCGGGGCCGGGTGAGGCGGAGGCGCGGCTGGAGGGTCCTCCGGAAATGGGGCGCGGGCAACCCCGGCCGAGCGCTTCACGCTCCCGCCCGCTTCCTGCAGCGCACCGTGCCCGCCCCCGCTTCCCTGGCCGCCCGGGGCGCTCTGCCCCCGAGCGCGCTCCCGCCCCGCTGACATCCGCCCCTCTCGTCCCCTCCACGCCGCCCCAGGTCCCCTGGCGCCAGCAGGCCCTGGTTCCTCCAGGAGGGCGGCGAGTGTGAGCACCCGTGGGCCGGGCTGCTGCGCTTGGTGGGCGCGGATCTGACCCTGGACGACGAGCCGCTGCCCGCCTTTCCCGGCCAGGTGCGTCCTCTGGGGCCCCTGGGGTGGCCTGGGTGGGTCTTCAGGCCAGGGAGGAGCGGGGAAGGACTCCCCATGCTGGATCCCTGCGGGACCCCCAGTGCCAAGGAGCAGCCTTCTGAGGAGAGGGCACCGGCCCTGCAGAGCTGCCCCATGTGCGAAAACCACCCCAGCCCTGTTTGGAAACCACATCCGTGTGTAGAAGGCAAAGAGGGTGTCCAAGCTCAGCTTTGGCCTTTTAAAGTCATATTTCACATGTGGAAAGCTGGCAGAGTGCACTGACCATGCGATTGTCCAGGTGACTCCTGCTGTCACAGGTTTGGGGGTCTACCTGCTTTCCACCATCTGGGGCCAGCACACCCTCAGGAGGAGGGCAGGGAGCGCTAAACCTGGACTGCCCTGACACTCCAAGTAGGTGGTGGTGTCCAGCATCCAAGACCCAGAGATGGCCTGCCGTGCCAAGGCAGGCTTGGGGGGTCCCTGCACTGTTTGCTGTTTAAGTGGCCACACAAATACCTTATGGGTGGTGGGTTGTAGGTTTTCAAAATGAACGCCTTTAAAATCCAATATATATTGGATTTATATATTGGAGTGTGGCAGGAAGCCTGGGAGCTGAGACATGGCGTGGCTGAGGAGTGGACACAAGATCGCTGCTTATAGCCCCGTAGACTCGGCTGCTCAGTGGGTGCATGTCCCCCAGCAGTTGTGTGTGAGAGACGCTTGCTCTGACAGGATGCCAACCACATGGCCTCCAGCAAGTTCTGGGCCCTTGTCTTGGGCAGAGCTGCCCACCTGCCCAGGGCACTGATCGCAGGCCTTGGGTGGGTTTCTTCCTGCTGCCCTGGCTGGCCACCACCTCAGCGCCACGCCCTCCCAAGCAGCTTGGGGGGCCCTGGGGCTTCCCAGGTCTGCGGCCCCGAGCTCAGATGAGTGAATCTCTCTCTCCGCAGTGGGGCTCCATCCGTCTGAGTCAAGAAAACAAATTCTCAGCCCCAAGCCACACACCTCTGCCAGCTTCTGTTTCTCTGCCTCTTGTGGAGGACTGTGGGCAGTACTGCCCAGCAGGGATGCCTGTCTCTGTGCCTTTTCTTTTTGGGTTCGAGTGGTGTGGTTTTCCTAAGAGAGACTAGCCTTCCCTGGCCATTTATTGATATAGAAACACCCGATGGGTCTGTCCATCTGACGTGATGGGACTTCTGCCATGGGCAGGCCAGCGACATGGGGAACAGCCCATCCCCCATCTTGAGACCCGTCGGGGAGCCTCTGACATCCCTTGGCCACCCTGCAGGTGGGCTTTTGGTGTTGGCTTTCAGAAAGGAAGGCTCCATGATGAACACGTTCTCAAGTTGAGTGGGCACCAGAATCCCCTGGGGGGCTTGTTCAGACACAGCCCCCCACCCCAGACGCAGGAGACTGGTGGGACCGAGAAGGTGCATCCCAGGCCACGCTGAGAACCTCTGGCCATGGAGGGCAGCCTCGACACCCCAGGGCCCTGCCCTTCACCATGCTGCCCCCATGGCTCTCGGGCCCACCCACCACCCACTCTCAGCCACCAGGCCCCACACAACAAGAAGCCAAGACACCCTCTCCAGAGATGGGGTGCACTGGCCCCAGAGTGGCTTGGAGGGTATGCTCAACATGCACTTTGTCACTGTCATGGGCAGGGGGGGATAGGAGGGGGGTGAGGAGCTAGGGACAGGCAACCACTGGAGTGTCCAGGGACAGTGCTCTCACTCTGACAATGCTCCTCCCCAGTCAGCCCCACAATCAGCCTCAACCTGTGGCTGATGAAGCTGACATCCTGGCACCTGCTCAGAGTCATAGCACAAGGCTAAGCCACAGTGCCTCTGGGACACCCACCATGAGCACGAAGTCAACCACAGATCAAGGAAGGCATGGAGCCTGTGATGGGACCACAGCCAAGAGGCCACCATGGGCACATACCTGACTAGAACATGACCCGGCCACCTTCTTCTTCCAGGTGGCTTCTCATCACACTTTTTGTGGCTGAATTCAAGGTTCCCACCCTGGGTCAGGGGATCAAGCAGAAGAGAAGGGCAGGGAAACCCCTGGGCACACATAGCTCTTGCAGTCTTGACCTATAAAAATCCAGGGACATGGGGGCTGAGGGGCTTGGCTTAAATGCAAAGGAAGAAACCACAAAGAGCCCCGGATTCATGTCAACAGCACTTCCAAGACCAGACAGGGTTAAGACTTGAAGGAAACAAGTATTTGCAAAGTAAGACTGAAGGAAGGGGTCTATTTAGTCAATAAAAAAATGGCAATGGAAAAATGGGCAAAGAGTGTGACTAGAACTCCTCAAGAAGAAAGAAATCCAGCCTCACCAGGAAAAAAGCCAGATGTAGAGAGTGTTGCATTCCAGCTTGGCCTCTTCCATGCGGGGGGAGCTTCAGCTACAGAGAACATCCAGGCTCCCCTCCAGGAACCTGGCACAATATTATTTATTATACTTTATCAGTCGTTCCTCAATCGGATACAAACATTTTGAAAATGCCATCCAGCTGGCCTTCATGACATCTACCTTACTAAGACACAAAACAGCTCCCATCTGTAGTGGCAAAGGGGAAAGAGACAAGCAGCTCATTGAGCCTAGGTCTGCTGCCACCTCTCACTTAGGCTCAAGTGAGGACAGACCCAGAATAAAGCCCTGAATTTATTCTATTTGTGGACATGTGGTTCTGGCAAAACTCAAATGTAAGTAGTCTTTTTTTAAATTAAAATTCCAAAACTAATAATAGCTAACATTTATCGAGCATTTATTATGTGCCAGGCATCACTCTAAGTGCCTTATATGTATTTAATGTTCAAGCCCTTCAACAATGCTATGAAAATATTAACATATCTTCTGTTGATGAACATTTAGATTATTTCTAACTTTTTCTCAGTAAAACGATACTATGATGAAAGACAGTGGTGCACCCAAAGGCTCGGGTGTCATGAGCCAACACTTGCTTACTCCTCATCTCTCACCTAAGGATATGGTGGGCTCCTAGGTGCCTTTATTATATCGGTCATGAACTAGCACTAGAGGCTCTGTGCTTGGCAGTGTTAATCATCTCAGGTTGGAGCATCTTAGGTCGTGTGTCTCTGCCTAGTGCAGGGTTTCAAACCCCAACCAAAGAGCCATTCCTCCCACCAAAAAAAAAAAAAGTGGGAAATAAACTTTCCCAATAGTGTAGGGCAACAGCAGAAATAAAACACCCAAGCAGTTGGCCAAAACACAGAGTACTTAGACTGGAGTAAAGCCCAAGACCTAACCTGGACCTTGCATGAGAGGAAGAGTACCATGCAGGGAAGAGGGCAGGTATTCCGCAACCAGAAGCCACATGCAACTCTGCCTTTTCCAGCAGTGACATGGCCTGAGCAAGAGCCTCCACTGCCTGATGTGTAAAAGGCAGGAAGGTATGACAGTTTGAGGCAAAAAAGGAAGAATCATGTGAAAATGAAATACTATGAAATACCAGCTGGTGATATCTTCCAAATATTCCCTCTCGTGTGCCCAAGTAGCCAGAGATGTTTGCTGTATCTGCTGTGTGATGTACTTCATTCAGGCTCTCCACATCTGCAGTCTGGTTCATTCCGTGATAGAGGATAAGATTTAGGCAAAATCATCCCCATTTTACAGATGGGGAAAGCCAGGCAAAGTAGAGGAGCATGTGAGGGACAGATGCTTATGGTTACAGCTGAAGACACTTGGCAAGGAGAACCAGAAGACTGATGGCTGCCAGCTCAGGGCTCTTTCCAGCCATTTACTTACTTGTTTTTAAGGGGCTGTGAGCATTAGCAGGTAACATAATGCCATGTTTTATCATCTCTGGTGTGGAGTAAAAGATGTAGAGAACTGTGCCATCACCACCACCATCATCATCATCATCACTATCGTGTCCCCATTATTTGTAAACCCATTCTCCCCTTTTGCCTGTGGTGCCTTAATTTCCCTGGAAACACTGCTTTCATTGTACAATCATTAGCTGTGGACACTAGTCCATGGGGTCATATAAAGCCGCAATCAAGCTGCATGATAAACGATGGTCCTGTAGTCTCCCTCTCCTGGCTGGGGTAGCAGCAGGCTTCACATCAGAACAGATGAATTCCTACCACCACAAGATAGGGCATGACCAAGGGATTCTCAGTGTTATCAGGCTGGATCCCCTCTCTGGAGTGTCTAGTCCACAATCAGCAGGTGAAGAGATAACAATGCTGAATGGATCTAGAGCGCTTAGCATGATGATTTATCAGCCTTAGAAAGCACTTGGCAGGACTCTGCATCGTTACTGCAGGCACTTCCAATGCAGAATGGCACAGCCGCAAAAGGACGTTCTCTGATTTCAAAGAGCTCGTTTCTAGTCTAAACCAGGACACTTTCTAGCTGTGAGAACTCAAGCAAGTCTCAACCTCCCTGCACCACAGTTTACTTATCTGCAAAACGGGGATAAATGATTCCTGATTTGTCTGCTTCTGATATTGCCAGGAGAATCAATCAAGAAAACTCAGCTAATGGTGTTTTCTGAACTCTGGGATATGACATAAAGTTTCAATGACATGATGGTGATGACCAATCAACTGATTGATTCACAGGCATAGCACAAGTCCTATTACCATATTCATTTTTGGCAAGCAGAATAATCAGGATTAGAACTTAGTGAAACAGCTTTTTCTTTTCTACAAATGAGATTGCAGTAATATGCTGCAGTGAACTCTTATAGTGAAAAGAGACTGATTCCAGAATTTCCCACTTCTTCAAGGCCCAGTCAATGGACAACAAAAAGTTGCCATGTTCTATTTGCTAAAGGTTTATGTCTGTGATGAATTAGTAAAGTTCAAGTGTGTGTTTGTATACCTCTTGCACAAGCTAAATTTTCAATTAAAAGGACTTGTCATTAGAACTGTTAGCTTTGAAGGTAGGTTTGCTGAACCCACCTCTCTAGCTTGATATGCAATATCTTGCAAGTTTAAATGCAATTTGCAGAA